TCTTCCTTCAATGTCTATATATTGGAAGCAATATCGCCATCTAGTGGTTGTAAATCATAATAATTTTTTAGATGCATTTTGCCAATTACACCATGAGGGTTAGTTGTTATTATGTTTTGTTTATTTGTTGTACCTTTGTTTCAAGGCCCTTGTTATTGTTCTATCTCTTACTCTTTTTTTTTTCCATCCGTGTCGCACCATCTCTCCCAGTGACGGATCCAGGAGGGGTGCACCAGGGCAAATGCTCCCACTGTTAAGACAAGGGCATTTGTATCTGGCCAGCATACAAATTGAATGTAAAGTACAAGTTAAAATTGCCAGCACTGTAAGAGATGCAAAGTGGTTATAGTGCTTATCCTGACTCTATAATCAATTTGTATTATTGTTTTAAACTGATATTTGAACAGAAAAATAAATAAATGATAGTGTCACTTTAAATTATTCAAAAATTATAAACCGCGTGGATACAGGTTGTCCGTCGGGAATTTGTCCATTTAACCTTTTGGTCTAAATCTTAGATGAAACCATTCACTATAAACTGTCACTGGAAAGATTTGTGAAAAGTTGGCATGTATGACTTACAGGCCTGGGCACCCTTGCTCCTGTTTCTGGTAATTGAAGATGACAGTCTGCTTTCATTTAAAAGTTCTGAATCACTGAAAATGTCTTAGAAGCTAAACAAACTTTGCTAAGTGAAGAAAGTGGGGAGTTTAAGCTAGGAATTTACTGCTATAGAAGCAGCTCAATTACGGATCTATGAAGAATTCCTCTGATTGCAAACATGGGTACTTTATCCTGACAAGCCTTTACTAACTGTTAGGAGGAATTCTGCCATATGCACTAAATGGGAACTTTAACCTAACAGTTCCAATCCACCTGCTTACTCTGAATCCGAAAATAAGGTGATTCTTTAAAACTAAGAGTGTGCATTCTTTCAAAGTCTTTATATTCAGTAAATCATAATTAGTAAGGTAATTTGTAAGAATTGGGTACAACTGATTTTAGTGAATTTAAAAAAATAAATCATAATTGAAAAAGGAGTAGGGTTAGAGGTAGGGTTAGGGTAGGGATAGGGGTAGGGTAGGGTTAGGGGTAGGGTTAGGGTAGGGCTTGTGGTAGGGTTAGGAATAGGGTAACTCTATCCCTACCCTAACCCTACCCCAACCCCTAACCCCCTGAGTGAATCTGAGTGATTCTGACAAAGGCCAAGTAGTGATGGCTAGTAGTGATGAGCATCTCCAAAAATGTAAGTGCTGTGGGCTGTTCCAGGTATAGAGTGGTTAGTACCTACTACAAGTAATGCAAGAAAGGACAACTGATGAACTGGCGTCAGAGACATGGGCCCCACGTCTCATTAATGCATGTGGGGAGCAAAAGCTGCTCTATCTGGTCCGATCACACAGAAGAACTACTGTAGCTCAAATTGCTAAAAAACTTAATGCTGGCCATGATAGAAGGGTGTCAGAACACACAGGGCATCACAGTTTGCAGCGTAGTTGCAGACTGGGCAAAGTGCCCATGATGACAACTGTCCCCTACAGAAAGTGCCTTTGTAACCGTGGCTGGTTCCCTTATTTACCACTATAATGTCTTGAAGCATAGAACTTAGTAGGGCTAACCATACAGATATCTTAGCCATAATTTTATATAGTTAGTAAGAGATCCTCTATTTAACATATATAAATAATTGAGAATACAATATAAAATAAGGATTGTCTTGGAAGCAATAGTTTTGTCTTTTTGGATATTTATTATATAAAAATATAAATATAAAATCCATTATAGCAGAGTTTATAAGATTAAATTACATGCTTGCAAATATCATTAATAGGTTAACATACCCTTCTGAACATGTCATCATGTCAGCCTCTCTGTCATTTTAAGATGGAGCAGCGTCTGTCTCAAAGTCTCTCCTCTGTGTCTTTACATTTAAAAGTACACCTATTTATACCTTAGGTATCTCCATTTTAGGGTTACCGTAGTTCAAATATGAAAAAGTAACACTTCTTTTACTTTATTCATTTTAGGACCTCCCTTAACTTGGCAAACATACAAGGCCATAACTAAAGGGTGCATACGTCATGGAAATTTTCCTGACTTAGTTCAAGATGGCATTTTAAAATCTGAATAGCTTATCTGTTTATACTAAGTTGTAAGTGCACAGTCGTGGGAGATTCCCGGATTTGGGGAAGTTCCATTAACTTGGGGTTACAACAGTATATTGTGTACTGAAAGAGTCGTAGCATAGCCTTGAAGCTTGTTTATGCATTATTGTTATTGTAATTCGTCTGGGACAAAATGGCACAAACATATTATGCACTGAGGTTATTGCTTAAAGAATCATCTATGAAAAACAATATGTTCCATTTCTAACACCTTGTCAATTTGCAATATCTCTTAAAGACAAAGTACACAGTTTAAGAAATACAACATTTCATTCTAAAACTTGTAATATTTGCATTTGCCCATAACACCTTCAATGGGGATGTGAGCATCAGAACTGGACCATGGAACAATAGAAGAAGGTTTCCTGGTTTGATGAATCACATTTCCTTTTAGATCAGGTTGGTGGCTTGGTGCGTGTGTGTAATTTATCTGGGGAAGAGATGACAGCCTGAATCACTCTGAGAAGAAGGCAGGCCAGCAGAGGCCTGTTATGTTCGGGGCAGCATTCTGCTGGGAAACCTGGCATTTATGTGGATGATTCTTTGACACGAACAACCTACCTAGAGATTGTTGAAGACCACGTACACCCAGGGCAGGACTGGAAACGAAAAGCAGCACTGGGTGTACATCAAACTTGATGATGATCTCAGCCAATCCTTTGCCTTCCCATAATAAAGCATTGAGAGGCTATTGTGCATGTGTGGCAAAACACTGCGCTGTACCAAGTGAATCAGCTCTTCATAGAGATGCATTGAATCAATATGTCAAGGAACCCTCAGGGCACATTGCTTTCCAGGCTACTACCTATCACCCTATTTGCCTACCTAGGCTTAGGACCACTCAAGAATGGACCCGAATGCACCACTCATCTTATTTAACGGCGCACCTGGGCCTTTATAATAATCTGTAATGTTTGAAAAGCCTTAACCACCTTAATTTTTTTTTTTTAGAGCTAACCACTTATAATTTAATCTGGGACGCTTACCCAACCAAATTCATATTTTAAAGGCAATATTCACTAAATATAACCATAGGAGTAGAAATTCTAAGGGAATCATTCAAAATAAGTAAGACCTCTTAGGTAGAGTGAACGTTTTTATGGAGTTTATTATAATTGACCATAATGTTTCTCTTTATTTACACTCTTTCAGCAAAATGTTATTCTGTTTTAATAATGATGATGCATTAATTTCTGTTATTTTAGATATATCTTTACAAATGTTTATTCCCAAACAGTTTATGTAGTTATTATCTATCAAACCATTTTTTCTATAAACTTTGATCTTACATCTAGGGAGCAATTATTAGATAGGGCAGATGATTTTTCCCAAATAAGTTTATATCCTGATGTATCTGAATATGTTTGTATTATATTCATTAGTTCTTTCATGGATTCCCAAGAATTTTGTAATGCCAAGACAATGTCATCTGCATATATTATAATTTTTGATTGATATTGATTCGATTCAAAACCTCTTATTGCTACATTTGGTAATTTCTTTAAATCTAAGTGAATTGTTCGAGAGCTGTCCGTCTTGTTTTAGAACTGTGAATGATCTTCTATCTAGCGTTATGTCCATTAAACAATTACAATCTCCTAGTAATATTAACTCTCCTTGTTTAACCCTCTCGATCCTTAATAAGACTTTCTTAATAAAGTTTATCACTGCATGGTTAGGAACATAAACATTAACAATTGTATATATTTTATGTTGTATTTCTCCTCTCAGTATAATGTAGTGACCCTCTTTATCTATCTCCTGATGGATTACTATGCAGGGGGTCTTTCTAGAAATTACTTTTGAAACCCCACTCTTTTTTTTGCCACTCACTGATCCTTTCAGGGTTATGCACTGAAGTGAGAATCACTGGGGATTCAAAGTGAAATTCACATTGGAGGCCACAAAACTGAAATGGAAACTTTCTCCAAGTCAGCTATGCTTCCAGTTGAGCTATTTTGTCCTTAATTTTGAAATTTGCTTTAAAGTCGTACTGTACTTAATAACTCTTAAAATGTTTGGCAAATTTGTGCCTTCGTTTTAAGAACTTTAAATGAATATTTTAACTCCCTAATAAAGCAACAAGGGATAGACAGTTAAAAAGCCTGCACTTTCAGTGACTGAGATATGCAGTGCATTAGTTTGCTCCAATACTACGCACTGTTTATACCCCAGCCCTGAATGGGTTTAAAGGAATATTTGAAGCACTTTAACCAGTCTTCTGCAGTAGTTTTGGTGCTAGGAGTGTCCTTACACCCTCGCAGAAGGAGCTTCCATTTACTCCACTTTTTTAAGCCCGCTGGCTGAGATGGTAAGCTGAGTGCTCTCAACCAATGAGCTAAGTCAGGGACATCTGGTTTAGTTCAATGTACGAGCTCCTGGGCACCCAAGTGGATCTGCCCTGTCTCAAAAAGTTGTGAGGGCAGCAGGATACTCCAGGTACCATAACCACTATAGCCCGCTGGTGCTTGGAGGTTTTCTGTAAGGGAGTGTGTACTATGCAGTTACAGAGAAACCAAGGGATGAGGCAATAGGATGGTGTCCATGAGATATGGTATAGAATGAATCTATAGGTATATTTAAAACCTAGCAACAGCCATGGCAATAAAACACTAACAAAGAACAAACCAACATCACTATAACAGTGTAAATTAGAAGAACACAATTTATTGTTGTAATAAAATATACAATATAGAAAATATATGTGTCTAGTAAAACAATGGTGGTTCTGTCATGCCATTAAGTATTTTATTTGGCAATGATGAAATGATGTGTGAGTGTATGGAAATGTGTTTGTCTTTGCATTATTTCTGAATTTGTCATTGTCATGAATATGCATTTGTCTCTGTCTGTATATGAGAAGGTGTTTCTTTGTGCATAAAAGTTGGTGTCGCTGCCTGAATGATTTTGAATATATTTATGTGAATTAATCTGCAGGCTTGTCTCTGTACATCTGTTGTGTATACCCAGGTGTCCATGGAAGGAGTAGTGTTTGTTTTTTGTTTGTTTGGTTCACTGCGCTTTTCCTCTGGATTCCAGTTCTGCCTCTTTGTGAATTTGATCTATGGTTTTCGGACCCTGGGGTTTATGTCGAGGTATCCAGTGATTCTTCCTTAAATCCAGCACATCCTGCACCAAAAATCTAATCCGTGAAGATATTGTCTTGTTTTTAATAAAGATACCAACTTTGTTAAAATAGTCATCCATGTAAGACTGTCCATTTTCCAGGTATTTCCCAATTGATGTTAGCAGAAGGCAGAGGCATTCCATGGACTCTTCACTGTTCCTGTTCAATAGTTTACTAAGAATGTCTTTCATGGTGTCTTCTGAAAGTAATTTTAATTTAAATAGCTCCCCAATAAATTTGATGTTCCCTTGGGATCGCTTGCGTGATTTCTTGCAGGCTTCACTTAATTCCTCCTTTAATCGAGTCTTTTCTTCAGGTAACATAGCTGCAACCAGTTCCTTTTGCAATTTTTCAATTCTTTCAACTCCATTTTCACCTCCCTCAAACTCCTTCTGGCAGAGGCTTATTAGCTGCCTGCGGAATGTAATGCAGACTTCACGATTGTCTTCTGTTGGGACCTGAAGCCTTATTAGCCAGTTGCACATGCTGGCATATATAACAGCAAAATGTGGCTCTGCTATCGCTTTTTCAAAAATGAGTTCTACAACGCCTTTCAGCTCATACTCTGTGTCTACAGAGAGGTCCTTCAGCTGTTTGATAAGGTTTTGAAACGTCTGTGGAGTGATCTTATTCAGAATACCACGGACTTTGCAAAGCAATTCTTGAGACTTGACACTGTTGGTATCTTTGTTTGCCCTTTTCATTGGAGGTTTCCAAGCTTTGTCAGATTTTTGCAGTGTAATGTTCTCATGTAGTTGAAGGATCCTGCGAGGTTCTTTACCAGGAGTGCGATGAGATCTCATTTGACCCATTCCAGGTCGTTGTCTGTGATTACCCTTAGCATGATGGGAAACATTTTCAGATAGAGGTGTACAATTCTTGCTGGTAAGTCGTGATGAATCCACTGGCCGAAGGTGAGGTCTAATAAGCATACCTTGGTAGATATTTGAGATTTCGAAGAAGTCCTTTGGCTGCAGTGTGGTTGATTGGAATTGGAGTAAAGAATCCCTGTCATAGTGTATCCTTTCTACCTTTGTTTTAATACTTGTCTTCTCTTGGAGCGCAGGTACTGCAAGGTCTTGGCTTTCTGTGATTTGCATTGGTACTATACCGGCCTCACCAGGTGGTTCCTTTTCTTTGTCTTCTTTCTTTGGCAATGGCTGCTCTCCGGGATCACTGCTCAGGCTCACACATGCTTCAGGTTGATTATTCTTAATCTCAGTTTGGTTCTGCTCAGCGATGCCCTCTTGATTGATTAGAAGCAACTCCTCTGGCTGAATAGTGGGGGAATCCAAAGTAGTCTCCTCTAATATTTCAACAGTGTGTGGTTTGGCAGGACAAACTGGGCTCTCTAGTAGACTACCAGGTTCCTGAACTGTGATTGGGTCCTGAGAATCTAGATGTGTAAGCTCAGGTGAACAAGTTGAAGAGGACTGTGGGTGTCTAAGGTGTACTGGAATCTCCTCTGTCAATATGTTTGTATGAGATTCGATAGTGCAAACAGTGCATTCTAGTGAATTGTTGTCTTCTAGACGTGTGATAACCTCTGTAGGCTCTAGAGACATAGACTGCAGCAGAGGACAAGGAATATCTTCTAGACTTGTGATGGGTTCAGGCTGTAGAATAGGAATCTGTTCATAATACTCTAGAGAATCTTTCTTTTCTTTTTCCAGTTCATTTGTGTCTACTTGCTTTTCTGAATTGTTGTCTTCTAAACATGTGATAACCTCTGTAGGCTCTGGAGACATAGACTGCACGAAATGACAATGAACTGTGATTGGGTTCTGAGAATCTAGATTTGTAAGCTCAGGTGAACAACTCGAAGAGGACTGTGGGTGCCCAAGGTGTACTGGAATCTCCTCTGCCAATCTGTTTGTATGAGTTTCAATAGTACAAACAGTGCATTCTAGAGAATTGTTGTCTTCTAGACGTGTGATAACCTCTGTAGGCTCTAGAGACATAGACTGCAGCAGAGGACAAGGAATATCTTCTAGACTTGTGATGGGTTCAGGCTGTAGAATAGGAATCTGTTCATAATGCTCTACAGAATCTTTCTTTTGTTTTTCCAGTTCATTTGTGTCTACTTCCTTTTCTGGGACACTTGCAGCCTTTATAGTTGCTATGTGTTTTTTTGGAAGTAATGTAGGCTTTACCTTAGAAAAAAAGAATGGGTCCCTGCAATGAAAATAGAAAAAGTTAAAAAAAATAATTGTAAAAATGAAATCCTTTCCTCCCTTTCCATCCATCAGCCCATTTTGTCACGTATCATATTCCTCTCACTTTCAGCCCGTCAGCAACTCTATCACTCTTTATCAGTAGGTACTGCATAGCTTACAGTGACACTATAACACCATGTATGGTTCAGACATTACATTGCTTTCTGTTATTTCAGTAAATGGTTAATTTTGTATTATAAAAGCTTATGTTTATATTAAAAATCATATCTTACTGAAATTAGGTAATGCTTAGTAAGTCATGTTGCTGTAGTACTCCCCAGTGATTTGTGATATTGGCTCAGAAAGACCATTGACATCTTTCTCTGTCTGTGGTTCTTCTCTCATTGGTTTCCTGTGTACACAGACAGCCAGTGAGATAACCTGGGTATTGGCTTACTGAGGACCCTGCAGTTTCATTTGGATAACCTTATAGGATTATGGTCAGTTATTCTGTGTCTCATGATACACTTACCTAGGTGGTCGAGCATATGTCATTTGTTTGTTGGTTATTGTTGGAGTCACCCGAGTATAGTATGGTACATCGGGAATCTTCTCCTCTTTTCCATATCTGACATAGTTATTATTATGTCTAAAGTTTTTGATGAAACACACAAAAAAACAAAAAGTTAAGGTTGATTATTAGAGCAGATTATTAGAGCAAAACATCAACAATAGAAAAAAACCTACAATATCCCCTTCCCCCCTTTGATTAATGTGATCATATAGTATTTACCTTTTATCAAGCACAGCAAACTTAGATTTAACAGAAGGGGGAAGGCAACGTCTAAATGTGCCTTTTTGGCAACATTTTAGAACTTCTTCCACAAACCCACCATTCTGTTCCCGTGGCTCCCGTCTCTTCCCCTTCTTAGTTTCTAGATAAATATCCAGATTAGGTGATATCTTGGGGAATGTCTGGGTCTCTACCTTAAGAGCTAGCCTAATGAGAAAAGAAAAAGTAATTAGTGAAGTTTCATATGTTGCACATTTGATGTTATATTTCTGGAGTAACCGAGTGTGTTTAGGAGATAATAATAGAAGTTATTATATATTATGCGTTGCTATTTGGGTTGTATTTTAATGGTTAACTAATGCAATTTGTGATTTGTGATGTTGGCTCAGAAAGACCATTATTCTGTGTCTCATGATACACTTACCTAGGTGGTTGAGCACAAGTCATTGATTTTTTTGGAGTCACCCGAGTATAGTATGGTACATCGGGAATCGTCTCCTCTTTTCCAGATCTGACATAGTTATTATTATGTCTAAAGCTTTTGAAGAAAAACACAAAAAACAAAAAGTTCAGACTAATTCTTACAGCACCCAGCTTAGAGGTTAAAATCTCTATTTGTTAAAACAAAACATCAAAAATGGAAAGAAACCTGGAGCTGGGGCTCTGCTTTTAGAGGTTACCCATGTAGGAAAGAAAAAGTGATTAGTGAAGTTTCATATTTCACACGTTTGATGTTATATTTCTGGAATAACCAAGTGTGTTTAGGAGATGATAAAATAAGCCATTATATATTGCTATTTGGGTCGTATTGTAATGGTTAAATAATTCAATTTGATGTGTAATACTTGTGACATGTCTGGACTAATTTCATCCTGCGCTTAATCCCAGGATGGAGCTGCCTAATCAGGGTCTCAAACACTGTTACTAATTCCTATATATTTTATCTTCTTTTTACCGCTGTATAGCATGCCTGCGTATTTTATCTTAAATTCTATTACTACATATGGGCTAGGCTTCACACATTCATTGTTTTGTTCATTTTTATCTCATCTGTTAAGAAAAATAACTAATTGATTAAACTCAAATTCACATTTTAAGGATTTTAACCCATATATTTCAACCATTCATTTCAATTACAGTATTAAATCTACAGGAAAACTAAATTATTTTATAGAAATAATGCCTATTAACCAACCATCCTTTCTTCTAATGTCTATCCAACTCTGACCCCCATCTTCTAATAACCCCATCTAATATGATACCTGCAGTCGCTGGCCACCTACCTGCCCGTAGAAGGCTGACAAAGAATATCATCTAGACTTGTGACAGGTTCAGACTGTAGAATATTATTCTGTTTATAACACTCTGCACAGTATGTTTCTGCATTTTCCAGTCTTTTTTTGCCGACTTCCTTTTCTGGGACATTTCGAGCCTTTTTAGTTGTTTTGTATTTAGTTGGAAGTAATGTAGGCTTTACCTTAGAGAAAAGGAATGGGTCCCTACAATGAAAAGAGGAAAAATTAAAATACAGTTGTAGCAATGATGTCCTTTCCTCCCTTTCCATTCTTCCTGTCCGTCAGTTACCCTATCACTCGTTATCCATCACTCATTATTGAACAGCTTAAAGTGACACTATCACATCATTTATGTGCCATAGATTACATTCTGGATATAGTAATATCAGTAAATAGTCTATTTTGTGATTTGTGATGTTGGCTCAGAAAGAGCATTGACATCTGTCTCCATCTGTGTTTTTTCTGTCATTGGTTTCCTGTGTACACAGACAGCCAGTGAGAGAACCAGGGTATTGGATGACTAAGGACAATGCAGTTTTATTTGGAAAACCTTATAGGATTGTGGTTGGTTATTCTGTGTCTCATGAAACACTTACCTAGGTGGTCGAGCATATCGTATTTCTACATTGGATTTTTTTGGAGTCACCCGAATATAGTATGGTATATTGGGAATCTTCTCCTCTTTTTTATATCTGACATAGGTATCATAATGTCTAAAGCTTTTAAAGAAAAAAAACAAAAAACAAAAAGTTCAGGCTAAGCTTTACAGCACCCATCGCAGAGGTTAATATCTCAATTTGTTAAAACAAAAGCAATACACTCCCCACCCCCCTTTGATTAATGTGATCATACAGTATTTACCTTTTATCAAGCACAGCAAATTTAGATGTAACAGAAGGGGGAAGGCGACGTCTAAATGTAACTTCTTGGCAACATTTTAGAACTTCTTCCACAAACCCACCATTCTGTTCCCGCGGCTCCCATCTCTTCCCCTTCTCAGTTTCTGGAGAAATATCCAGATTAGGTGATATCTGGGGGAATGTCTGGGGCTCTGCTTTAAGAGGTAGCCTATTGAGAAAAGAAAAAGTGATTAGTGAAGTTTCATATTTCACACGTTTGATGTTTTAAATCTGGAATAACCAAGTGTGTTTAGGAGATGATAAAATAAGCCATTATATATTATGCATTACTATTTGGGTTGTATTGTAATGGTTAAATAAATTTATTCCATATATAAACCCTGTGAAAGACTCATGTCATCCTGCATTTCATCCCAGAATGGTGCTGTCTGATCAGGGACTGAAAACACCTTTATTAATTCCTATATATTTTACTTGTTTTTTACACTACTGTATATCTTGCCTGCTTATTTTATAGCAATCACTACAAGTGATATTTTATATCTCATCTGTTAAGAAGAATAACTAAAATATGAAACTTAAAGTCACATTTTAGGGATTTTTACCCTTATGTTACTCTCCTTCATTTCAAGATGACATTATTCAATCTACAGGAAAGCTATGTTATTTTATAGAAATAATGCCCATTAATAAACCATCCTTTAATCTACTCTCTATCGAACTCTGACCCCCATCTTCTAATAACCCCATCTTATACGATATCTGCAGCCGCTGGCCACTTACCTGTCCGTAGAAGGCTGGATGTTTGGCTGTTTTCTGAATTCTTTTTTAGTAGAATTCCTTGGTGGGGGTTGATTACCCCCCAGCCGTGAAACCGGGGGACATTCAATCATAGAAATAACGTTACCCATTGTCTCTGTAAATCATCTCACTGCAATGAAACTGCTTGTGAAATGCCAGTATAACCAGCACTAACTCTGTTATCTGTTATCTGCTCTGTGACATCACAACAGAACCTGATGATCTATGATGCAGGAATAATGGCTGACTGCATAATGTCTATGGAAATTAAATCCAATTGAAAATTAAAATATAGCTTAAATAACAGTCATATAAACAACTTAATTTTCTAAATTGTGGTTGTGGCATTAAAGGGATACTTCGACCACCAGAACAACTTTATCACAGCAAAGTTGTTATGGTGTGATGAGATCCATGGCATCATCTCACCTTAAGGTGTTAAACCATTAACAGTTTAACCCCAAACACTTCCTCTAAAGGCTTGAAGCCATTGGTACCTTCATGTGGGATTGACAAATAGAAGGATACCAAATTACAGCGCTATCTACTGAACAGCTGACAGATTAAAATTAAGAAAAACCGGGGCCGGGCCTGACCGGCATGGCGGACAGACGCAACTTGAGGGAGCTTCCAACTAACCTACACTTCCAAGCAACTTGCTGGGGCTCCCACCGCACAAAAATCGACCCAAACAGAGACTTACCTACTGCAGACGACGGCTGGAGTGTCCCGACGCAGAAAGGCGGGATGCCGATCATCATCAGCAGTCCGGAGCGGCTGCGGCCTAGTGGGGGTTCCGGACGGGAGAATCGGCCGGTCTCCCGTCCCTTGCCTCTCCTGCCTGTAAGACCACACAGGGTCCTGCTTCCCCCCCCCCACAGGGCCGGGGGGGAATATCCTGGTCCACCACATACAGCATAGATCTGGTCCCGACCCAAATACAGGAGACCAACATGGCCGAACGGAGGTAGGGGGAACAAACGCCACGTGGGCGCTCGGCAAAGTAGCGGACAAGCTGGGATATGTGTTGCGGAGCTGCAATTTTATAATCCCAGGATCTCTGCTGGTAGAATGCAATAACCAAGTACAAAGCTGGAAGCAGGCAATATTCCCAAATCCTCCCAAGAACCAGACGAAACACAGTCTGAGAGTCAACTGCCACTTTATTCAAAAAGACTGATATTTAAAGCAGGTCACTCAACTGTCACTTTATTAAAAATAACTGATATTTAAAGCAGGTCACTCAACAGGGGTTTCCAAAGATGGGCAGCAGGGGTTTTGGTTGAGGGGACTGGAGGGAGACTACCGTTTCCAGGTCCTCCTCCCAACAGCCCCTGCTGTAACATACAGTAATGAAAACTACGAGGACATAAACCGTTACCTTTCTACTTCAAAATATACAACTTAGTCAGTTTTAATAGCAATGCTAACGAATGGGGAGGATTCGAACAGACATACACAGTACAGCATAAATTAAACATAGCCGGAGACGCCACACTATACCGGCGCGCAGTACACAACAGAAAATAGGCACAACCATTCTATCTTAGGCAGTCCCAAGTGGCTAGGTTTGCCACAATATGATTACAGGTTGGAGAGAATCTTCCAAGACTTTTGGCACAAATTAGAAGTGAAGATGTACCGTCCAGCTCAAACCCACCCAACAACCAGCTTCCCGCACAAACGTCAGCCTGACCCGCTGCAATTAAACAAGCAGCCTGAGATAAAACGAAACCCAGCATGGCAGAGGGAAAAAAAGCTCCAAACTAAGACGAAGAGCAGGAGGGATGAACTGCGACCCCCATACGCGGACGGCGTTCCAAACTGTATTATCATGCTCCCAATCTGTACAAAAATGTGCATTCCCTACTCTTTATTCTGTACCCCGTCTTATAAATGCCTCAATAAAAGAAAGATTGACAAAAAAATTAAGAAAAACTCTTTTCATAGCCAGTCCCATGTCAATCCCACATAAGGATACTATATTAAGGCGCTATCTACCAAACAACTGCAAGATTTTATTAAGAAAATACCTTTTTCTGCAATATTGATCTTTGATCCGTTAAATAGATAATTCCTTAATTAGGTCTCCTTAAGTTGGACTGCTATATATAAGGATACCAAATTAGGGAGCTATCTACTAAACAACTGAAATATTATCTCACCTGGATATGTTTATTGAGTAAACGCTGCTCTACGTTGGAGCTAAGTGCCTTTGCATTGGGGCGTCTTATATTTCTGGAATCACCGAGAGTGTTTAGGAGATGATAATAGTTATATAAAAGTTAAATAAAAGTTATTATATATTATGTATTGCTATTTGGGTTGTATTGTAATGGCTAAATAAATTGATTTAATCTGTAAAATTTGGGAAAGTCTTCCAGACTTATCCTGCATTTCATCCCAGGATGGTGCTGTCTGATCATGGACTCAAAACACTTTTATAATTTCCTATACATTTTACTTTGTTTTTGCACCCCTGTGTATCTTGCCTGCTTATTTTATAGCAATCAATACAAATGGGCTGGGCTAAACACATTCATTGTTTTGTTAATTTTTTTTATCTCATCTGTTAAGAAACAATATCTGATTGAATCAAACACAAATTCACATTTAAAGTTTTTAACCCTTATGCTACTCCTATTCTTTTTTAGTTTACATTATTCAATCTACAGGAAAGCTGTGTCATTTTATAGAAATGATGTCCATTAATAAACCATCCTTTAATCTACTCTCTATCGAACTCTGACCCCCATCTTCTAATAACCCCATCTTATACGATACCTGCAGCCGCAGGCCACTTACCTGTCCGTAGAAGGCTGGATGTTTGGCTGTTTTCTGAATTCTTTTTTAGTAGAATTCCTTGGTGGGGGTTGATTACCCCCCAGCTGTGAAACGAGGGGACGTTCAATAATAGAAATAACGTTACCCATTGTCTCTGTAAATCATCTCACTGCAATGAAACTGCTTGTGAAATGCCAGTATAACCAGCACTAACTCTGTTATCTGTTATCTGCTCTGTGACATCACAACAGAACCTGATGATCTATGATGCAGGAATAATGGCTGACTGTGTAATGTTTATTAATATTATATCCAATTAAACAGAATAATTGAAATAGAATTTAAATGACAGAAACATAAACATAAATTTATCACAATTAAGTTGTCTTGGTGTGATAAGGTTCATGACACCCTCTAACCGAATGTGTTAAACCATTAAACCCCAGACACTTCCTTTAAAGGTCTGAAGCCTTGGACCGGGTGCTTCTGATAGCGTCATCTTCCGGCTCCGGCATCAGAACGTGGGGCGCGAGGGAGCTGACCTGGCACCCAGACCACTTCATTGAGCTGATGTGATCTGGGTGTCTGTAGTGGTCCTTTAAGTGTATGTGTATCTGCATGCACTGGCGTACATACCGCGGTTGAAGGGGTCGCGACCCTGCGACCCCTGCGACCCCTGCGACCATGTGCCCGCTGCCATGTGTTGCGGGGGGAGCCCACGGATCAGTTTTCACACCGGGGCCCCATGGATTGTGTGTACACCACTGTGTGTGTGTGACTATCTGCCTTTGAATGTGACTGTCTGCCTGTAACTCTGTGTGTGTGTGTGTGTGTGTGTATTTGTTTGTGTGACTGCCTGTGACTGAGTGTAACTGTGTGTGTGACTCTCTGCCTGTGAATGTGTATGTGACTGTGTGTGTGACTGTCTGCCTGTAACTCTGTGTGTGTGTGTGTATTTATTTGTGTGACTGCCTGTGACTGTGTGTGTGTGACTATGTGCCTGGCTGTATTTGGCAATATATGGGTATAACCCATGACATACTTGAAAACGAAAGAAATCTCAATGTATCCTTCCTGGTAGAATATTGCATATTCACACTGATTTCCCACTTAAATTATTCTCCTTCTCTCCCGCATGACGTTGTAACGGATCACCTAGCACCCCGACTGGGTACCTCCGTTAAAGGATGCTCCTGGCGTTTACAGAGGGCTCCAAGCACTCCACCAGTCACCACAACAACCGCAGACCCCACGAACCGCCGTAGCTTGGTTGAGGTCTCGCCGTCTCCTACCCACCCTGGACCTATGACAAGGCTCCAGGTTCCAGTGGGTGAAGCTCTAAAAGAGCTTAGAAGTGATTATCCAAGGGAGCATGCAGAGCATAGCAATCCCTTGTATGATATAGCAATTCCCCCAATAAGAGACAGGACTCTAGATTGAGGGTGAAGAAGAACTCTGGTTTAATTACACACACTCTGCTTTAATGCAATTCTCCCATGCAAGGGAGACGCCCACAGACAATTATACATTACCCAATCACACACTGGTTACATCCCACACATCTCCTCCCCTTAGCCTGAGAGGTAACACAGTTAGCCGTACAGTTTAAAACATACTTTTTACCCAACTTTCATAACTCTAAAACTATACATCCAATATAATAAAAGTCACATATTATTAATCAGCACATTTCAAATACAAACATACCAAAAAATCATTTGAATCCGTTCAGCCGTTTGGGAGATAGATATAAGTCACTTTTGACCGACTGCAAGCACATTTTCATGCCCAAAGGAGTTCCATAGATTTGGACTGTGCGGTCGGTCAATTTCACACTGAAAAAATGACTAAGTCCCATTCGAACGTCTGTTCGAATCTTCGAACGGGACTTACTCTCTGGGGCTGAAAACTCAGTGCAGGAGAAGGTAAGGGTGTGTTCGTTGAAATGTGTAGCCGATTTCAGGTCCATGGATTTGGCTACACACACCGCTGACCTTGTTCGAATGAACAAAGATGGCCGCTGCCACGTGTTCGTTTGTCGAATGGCGGCCACTTCGACTACTTTGGCACTTCGGCTGTATCCAAAGTGCCAATTTAAAGTTGCAACACTGCTCCAAAGTAATTAAGGGGCCAGAAATAGCATTATAAAAATCCATTATGCCCAAATACAGCTCTTAAAGGGTCAGTAACAGTATAATATAAGTCCATAAGCCCCAACTCAGTTCCTTAAAGGGCAATACATGCCAGGGGCCATAGTCACATGGCAGGAGGCTGGCAAATGGGCCCCTCCAAAAACCAGTGGCGAGGTCATTTTCGCCACAGACGT